TTTCCCCTGTACATATAGACTCAAACGCACATTATGAGAGCTGCGCATACACCAGCACACACACAGCCACACATACATTCACAAAGTTGCATCTTTGCTGGCTCATGCTCTTTTTTTGTTTTTATCATTCACACACGTTTCGTCATTTTATATTTAGTTATTTATTAGGGCGGCTGTGGCTCAGGTGGTTGTCGTCCAATCGCAAGGTTGGCGGTTCGCTCCCAATTGCAGGCAGCACCTTGCATGGCAGCTCTGTAGCCACTGGTGTATGAATGTGTGTGTGAATGGGTGAATGAGAAACATTGTGAAGCGCTTTGGATAAAAGCACTATAAAAGTGACCATTTACCATTTATATTGGCAACAATGCTTGCACAACACAGCACAGCATTTAAGCAGGCTCATACTATAAACACAGAGTAGAACATGTTCTTTTAGGTTGCAAAGGATTTCATACTCAGCAATAACAGGTAAGGCTCTCTTTATATTAATTTTTTTAGGCATTCACTGTATAACAAAAGTTATAATAACTCTATTAGAAATTGATGTTTCCTCTTCCAACAATAAATTATGTAGTTTAATTTATTTTAAACCATTCCCCATTAAATGAATCGGTGGGTATCTGCTGATTCCAGTGAGAACAAACACCCCAATCTGCACTTATATGCAAGTTACATGCAAGACTGCTCACACAAGCCAATTCTATACTGCCTGCCCAGTGTGGAGTGGAGGAGAGTTTTATTTATTGAGTGGCTCTTAAAGAAGGCATTTAGCGAGTGAAAGTGACTGAGACATTTTTCAGCAGTACTTCAACAGCTAAAAGTAAGGCATGAGTGAATGTCGGCATTCATGACTCACAGGTAACAATGAAGTTTCAGAAACTTCAAAATACGTGCGGTGTCTCTGCTCAGTGTGTTCAGTTGTTCCAGTGTTTGCTGAGAAATTTCAACAAGTATTTGATAAGCTGATATAGTGGCAGAGTACGGCCTACTGCGTCGAACAGTAGATGACTGTCTTATCTAAAACTTTAAAATATCACTTGTTGGATTGGTAATAGGGGCTGCATGGGGGCTCAGTGGCTAGCACTGTCTCACCTCACAGCTAGAAGATCCCCGGTTAGAGTCCTGGTTAGGACGCCCAGGATCTTTCTGTGTAGAGTCTCCATGTTCTCCCTGTGCTGTGTGGGTTCTCTCTGGGTTCTCCAGCTTCCTCCCACACAGTCCAAAAACATGTTGTGGTTAATTGGTGATTCTAAAATTGTCTGTAGGTGTGAATGTGAGTGTGTTTGGTTGTCTGTCTATAAGTTTGACCCTGCGATAGACTGGCGATAGATAGGCTCCAGCGACCCTAGTGAGGATTAAGCAACGTATAGATAATGGATAGATGGATGGGTTGGTAATTACTTGCCCCCCCCCCCAAAAAAAAAACCTAAAAAAAAAAAAAAAGAAAAATTGAATAAAAAGGTTGCCAGTGAAAATGTGGAAAAGATAAAAATGTTAAAGATAAAATCCTTTATAAGATAAAACATACACAATAATGTGATCACAAGCTTCATTTCAGTCTAATATCGCAGAACCAGCCTGGGAATAGTACCTTCCATTGCTCCAATGTGCAGCTGTGACTAAACAGTTCTACTGGTTGCACCCCAGATTTAGCAGGTCTGCCTGAATGTGTCTATCTAGATAAAATCACTCCATTTCCACTTAGGTAAACTTGTCATTACAACACCTTACACCATGGTCAATGAAAATTCTATGGCTAACTGGCATGCATTATTTTCGTGTATACACACACGTAGTTCGGCGAGTTAAATCACTATTATATCACGCCACTCTGGCGACTTGCTTTCAATGGCTTTCAACAGCGCTCTGACACTTGTATAAAATAGTCCCAATTTTTAGCAAGTTCTATTACTTAAAGAAATATTTTGTGTGTTTGCGCGCTGTGTGAGACCATGGTATAAGCAGAGAAACATTACTCCGCTTCACGTCGTGGTGTTTTAGACTCCGCAGCGTGCATTCAAACCGTATAATGCACGGCTCCTCGTTGTTTAATCCTTACTTATTCTGCTCTGTTCTAACTATTTTTGACTTCACACCTGTCTGACTTTGGAGGACTGGGGGAAGTAAGTGAGACTCGAGGCCTCTCTGTGACGAGCCACCGAGTATGTGAGGTGTTTAGGTAACATTGGTAAATTGTAACATCTACCAATAGTCTGCAGCCTGGGCCATACTCTCGCTCTCTGTAAACTGCACAAGTTTCTGCACGCACACTGGTCACGCCACAACACCAACCACAAGTAAACTGTCAACACGTGGGAAACACTGGAACATAGTAGAACATCCAACATTATACAATGCATCTTTTGCAAAAAGTGGAACCACAGCACGGCTGCAACGTTTAAAAAAAGAAGTACAATGTTTACGAGAAAACCTGAGTTATGTCTTGCAATGTTTTGTTGTAAAGCAACTTCAAACCATAGAAATGAGAAATTATGAATTATAATAAAATTGACCACTGCTTACAATATAGCCAAGGAAGAGCTACTTTTAATGACTTTAAGTCCCAGATCAGCCTCATGAAAAAGACTCAACATACTGTGCTAAAAAATGACCAGTGTGTATCAGAACTGACAAAAAAGGTGGGGCTTAAAATCTATCATTCCTCGCAAAAGTTAAGCTGAAAAATTCTGGGTGCAGTGAAATGAAAAGTCATGCGCACCAGTGCAACCAATGTAAAAGGTTAGTCTGGAGCTCTGCTCTAAGTAACAATAGTGAGAAAACCAAATATTTCCTCAGTAAGTTAGAACAAAACTCATTTTCTGCCAGAATATGAACTCGTGCGACTGCCTGCAGCCCAGTACTGGACTACTACAGTGTAAAAGTACAAATGGTAATATCATGTAGTCGATGATTCATTGAGAGACCAGAACCACATGCTGCTCTCCCTGCTGCTCGGAACGGGGTATAACCATATAAGTGGAGAGAAGGAAAAGGGAACTAGCGCACCTGTACAGAGGAGAGGCTGATATTGATTGGACAGACTTGTTTAGCCAAATATGAGGCCTGTTTGTCTATTTCATGGTCAATTTGAGCTGTGAGTTGCATTGGCTGTTTGCTGCTTCGCAAAGGCAAACATGTACAGACAGCATCTTTGTAGGAGGGAACCTGAACTCCTGACCTGAATACACACACTCATCGACAGACAGTTATAGCGATGCACATGTACATTACACACACGTACGTGTATAAACACAAACACACGCATGTGAACAAGCTCTGTATACTGAGCCCACAACTAAATCAACACACCATTTATTTTTCTTTCCGAAAGACTCTCTCTTTCTTACTTTCCCCAGACTTTTTATTTGCTAGGGGGCTGAGCTCTCAGACTGGGATTGATCCTGAGCCGCCGTCTTGAACCTGTGCCCCGAGGGCAGCTGAGTGCAAACATGCAGCAGCCCCTCTCCACTTACTCTGATCGCAGCAACACGTTCTGTTACACTATACCCACATATACGACCACACAACAGATGCACATGGCAATTGCCGACCATTTCAACCTGGACTGCTTTCAACAAACAGAAGGCTGACTAACACCAGTCATATAGAAAAAAAAAAATCTATCTCATCCATTAAAAAGAGAAAGGGCTTTATAAAAGCCACTCAACAAACACTTGTTCACAGTCAAAGTGCAAACCTTAAGATGCACAATTTGAGTAATAAACTCTTCCTTTACTTAGGATTTTAAAAATGACAAGCCTGTGTATAAGTATTGGAATAAAATCACTAGGCATAACAGCAGCACTGGATATGACAGCAACAATTTCATACACCACATCCCATTTGCTGAGTGCTTTTCATGGGCAGAGCACAAAAGAAATCCATTATTTTTTGCAAATGCAAAGATTCATTTGAACATTTTACATAAATAATTCATACAAAGAGGGATGCTTTTACAGTGTTTTCACCTGAAGACAGACAGCTAACTAGTGAGAATGCTCACTCACCCACCTGCCTTTCCTTCTCTCTTTGAAGTAAGGAGGGAAAAAAGAGGGAGAGGGCATAATTTGCTTGATTCATTTATCATTGCTTACTACGAATAAATGCCATTAAGAATAGTTGCTGCATGGCGGTTGTGAAGTTCTGGAATAGCTGGCAGCATAGTGGGAGCCGAAATAAAGCAACATGGTGATTAGAAAAATGCATCCATCACACACACACACACACACACACACACACACACACACACACACACACACACACACCTACACACACACACACACTCACACACACTCACACACACACACACACACACACACACACACTCTACCAGTCAGGAGCCTAATGGCTCTGTGGGGTTTTGAAATACACACATAAAGTACACACACAAATACATACACAATTACTCGCTGTGTTTTTCTGCGACTGCCCTGAGTTCCTATAGAGTTTGTGATTGATGGGTTCTGTGACTGGTGCTGTGAGACAGGTGGAACCTTCAAGTCAGCTAATCTACACTGCCTCCTACAGGATAACAGCCCACATTGGACCTGTGAATGTGTGACAAACTGTCATCATCACCTTACCCAAGTCGATAATGACGACGATAAATGGTGTTTGCATAGCACTTATCAAGTCTTCAGATTCAACCGCTGCATCTACTTGACAGCAAGGATGGTTTTGAACAGGAGACGATGTACAAAAACTACTGTATCTCAAAGCTGCATGCAATTGTAAATAAAAATTTCCTGAATGTTCCCTGACAGAAAGTTTCTTCATGGGCTGATTGATGTTTTTTTTTTTCCTTTGCAAGATTTTAATTAGGTCTCATTAACTTTGCATTTGCTCCCAAAGGTTATTTAGGATTACTGAGAGTCCCTACCACGTCCCCATTCTGACATACAGCATTCCCTGATGGCACATCCTGCACCACAGCTTTTTTGTCAGTAGACTGTGAAAACCATACCCATCAGTCATTTCTGACCAGAGGGCAGTGACCCTACCTTCCAAGCAATCCTGTTGCCTTTGGTGTCATGGGACAGTGCAATCGGAAACTCTCCACGCTCATAGAGCTTTCGAAAGGTGGTTGGTTTGGAAGGGCGTTCCCGAAAAGCCCCTGCTGCAGGCGGACCCACCACCTGGTCAGGCACAGGAAAAAAAAAAAAAAGGCAATTAAGAGAAACGAGCACAATAGAGAAATTAACAGAGTGAGACATGCATTGTGAGGGAGAGTGTTGTTTTATGAAATCAGAATTGACTGTGTTTTCTGCTACAAGAATAGAATCACTCTCGCTGCCTTTTCTTTACAGTAATTTGGGTAGACACGTGTGCCTGCTCCTCAGCTCCTCTAAGGAAGGCCAAACACAGACAGTGTGCGCTTGTGTGTGTATGTGTGTGTATATGTGTGTGTGTGTTGGCCCTGTAGCCAGAGGCATTGCCAGAGGCATTGTTAGGATCATCTTTTCTCTGCCTCCATATTGGATATGTGCTATTACTGTGCTACTGAAAGCCAATGGGACTCCTATCACATCAGCCACAGTGTCTGCTATTGTTCTGGGGCCATTGATGGCGGCACCCATTCAGCAGATGTAAGTAAATGCAACACATTAAAAAGGAGCGCAAGAGAATATTTTAAGATTAGAAAAAAATAATAATTTAAATACAACTGTCTTCTATGGATGGAAAACAAATTGACATTGCTATTCAATTAAAAAAAAAACTTGCTATCAACAAGGAATTATAAGATGACATTGAAAAAATTATTGATTATTTAGGAGTGTAAAAAAACAAAACAAATAGCAGATGCAAAGAAACTATCAATCATCAAAGGTACTGAAATTGAGAGAGAAGAGTGAACTCCCATGCACTATGTTTTTACTTGCACTAAACTTAATTGGAAATATGTTTCAGGCCACCAAGACACATATGACTTCTCAGACGGAGATATAAGCATCAGTAGCCAAGATGGGAGAGGCTGTGCATGCAACAGCTTATGTCGGGGTTTTTCACCAGTAAATGTTTTATGTCGAATGGCAAAGAGAACTGTTGAACAAAGCCTATATTAAATCTCATCTAGAGTTCACCAGAATGCATGTGTGAGACTCTGAGATCAATTGACTAAACACAATGGTTGGCAGACAGCAAGACTACACATTACAACAGACACACCACCCTCTTATGTGAAGCATGGTGGTGGCAGCATCATGATATGGGGATGCTTCTCTTCAGCAGGTCCTGGTATATTTGTAAAGAGAGAGGGTAAAATTTAAGCATAAAGCATAGGAAAATCCTGGAGGACAACCTGATGCAGTTTGCAAGAGAACTGCGACTTGGAAGAAGACCTGCTATCTGGCAACAGTGAATGCTCTGGAGTGGCAGAGTGAGAGCCCAGACCTCAGTCTAATGGAGAATTTGTTACTGGACCTAAAAGAAAGGCTGTTCAGTCAGGATCTCTGTGTAACATGACAGAGATTGAGCAGTTTTGCAAAGAACAACGGGGTAAAATTGCAGCGTCTAGATGTGCAAGGTTGATTAAGACCTATCCACACAGGCTTAATGCTGTAATTGCAGCCAAAGGTGCATCCACGAAACACTGACTTCAAGGAGATTAACACTTACGCAGTCACCTATTTTACACTTTGTATTTTTAATTAACTGTCATTACGTTTGGAAAATCAGTTCTCATTACGACATAAAATAATCTTTTTTGTAAATTGTTGTTAATAAATCCAAATCAAATTCACCATGATTCAGTGTTGAAAAGCAATAAAAGGGGACAACTTCCAAAGGGGGAGATACTGTTCATAAACACTGTAGCAGATTGTTAGGTGGTGACATTTTACTGAAGCTATTTGGACCTTTACATAGCTTCACTTTGCTGCTTAATATGATGCTGTGACTTATTAGTTTTGATATGCAGTAATCCTATGTGTTGGTCACTAAAGTTTATCCACTAATGACAAATTTTCTCTATTTTCTAAATTTATATCTTAATCTTATTTGCTATTTCTAACACTACATTGCTAAATGTAGCTGCTTTCATAGTTATACCGTTTTTGTTTTGGGGGGGTTTACGGTGACATATCTGCACATAGGTTTACACACTGTTTTCATCATCCCTTTGTTTATACATAAATAATCTCCCTCTCATCCCCATTTGGTCGGGGTGGTGTGCTTCTCAAGCCTTTATCAGAGGCCTGAACTCATATACTGCCACTGCCGACTTCTGCACCTCGTCAACCACCACTATGTCTGGTTGATTAGACCAGCAGCAGATAAAGGTCTAAGGACGTCTGTCTTCTCTTACCCAGGAACAAACCCTTCTACACACTGGTCTACAAGACACTGTAGGTGTGCATGAACCTTTACAGTCAAGATTTGCTTCGCTGAAAATATTAGAGCCTTGCAACAGCATGTTGTAGTGGACAACTGACAGAATGTTGCAGCTAGTCTTTTCCCTGTCTGCATCCCCCATGTGCATTCCCTGCCATCTGTGTCACACTGCCACATGACTGGCAGATGTGTTGCTGTCATTAATCCTCAGATTACCACCCATTGAGAAACAGATTTTTTTGCCACAGCAGCCCGCAAGGAGAGCAGAGTGAGATGGGGATGTGTTATCTTTGGCAGGACTGCCTAAGAGTGGTGTCCAACTTCTGAGATTTTAAAGAGGTTGGAGGCTATTACTATAACACTACTTAACGGTAGTTTAGTTTCTCATGTCATTTATTACATCATTCACTAGCATTGCTTGTTTGTTACATAATTCAAAAACAATCTAGATTTTAAGTCTACAACCGCAAATGTATCTCGAAAAAAACGGCAACAAGAAATGATGTAACATGGATCAAAGTTGGAGCTACATGTGCGGGGTTGGTGTAGCTGGTGCCAGCAGACTTAAGAGAAACAAGAAAAGAGGAAAAACTATTATGAGAGACCCCGAGTGAGTGTCTCCGAGCACTCACTGCATTTAAACAGCCCTAATGCACCGTGGGATTGCAGCGCAGTCATTTCAAATGAATCCGTTTGGAGCATTTGTTTACCATGCCAGGGAATAGTGAATAATATTATGCTGAATTAATAGGCACAGGTTTGTATACCTGCAGGAGAAAGACTACCCAAACAAAATGTCTGTGACTAACAATGCATGTAAAACACAAGAAAAGGCAGTATCTTCTATACAAGTCTAAAGGAAATCCATCACAACGAACTTGTATGCTTATTATCATCTTTTAAGCTTTGTCTTTTATTTTCCGACTAATTCCAGCTGCAACAGTGTGTTTAATCATGCCCCCAAAAAAGAAAATGTTGCACCTACTGTTTTGTATAACACTGCCCTTCTGAAAAGAGAGTCTGTTCCCAGTTTTCTTTTTATTAGGTTCGGTCGATTAGTCTATAATTGCTTGTATAGTTTAAACTCAGAATTATCCCAAATAGTAGCTTGCTTCATTAGAATCCTGTTTCTGTCTTGTCACATCAAAAATAAGCTGATACAAGATGGCAAGTGTTGTTCAATTAGACTCTGAAACATACATCACTATCATCTGTTTGTCTCCCCTCTTTTTCTTTTTTTTCTTTTTTTACAGTCTGTCTCTGTTCATTCCCTTCTCTGCAGGAGTTGTTTTGCAGCCCTAGCTGTGGAAATAGGGAGCTGTAAAGCTGGCAAGATCAGTGCTGCTCCAGCCTGCAGGAGTGACAAAGCCCTCATATCCAGGTAGCTACGACGGTGGTTGAGCCACACTGCACAGGAAGGCTAAAAATAGCTCCGACTGGCCAGCGAGGAGAGAATGAACCCAGACTGCATTGACTGGCTGAGCAGCTTTTATGGTCAGAAATGATGACGCTGCAGTCAATTCAGTGACCTGTGTTCATAGCTGATGTGTTGCAAGCTTCACAGCTATCTCCCTGATTTCTCTCCAGTTATCATCACTGGTGGCCAATACACATCCGTACACATGCGTGCACAATGGCATATTTTCATGTGGCTCTGCACACGCTACAACAAAACAAACACAGAAGCCCTTTCCTTCATCGCTGATATAGTCTGCCATTCCAAGCAGCTTAAGGAGAACGGTAATAGGAATAGCATCGTGTGGAGATTATCACCTGCTGGCTCCTGGATGCCATTCCAATGATCTGCCTGCTCCTGTTATGCCATTCGTGACATTTGGGTCTAAAGCCCCTGTGTGCTCAGAGAAAACCATCTGAATCCTAAAGTAACTGCTATAGCCATAACCTTGTTTGTCTTCAAGCAGCTTAACAAAACTTCTTTTGTTTTGTGGCGCTCACAGAAGCCACATAAACATGGAGAGCAATCATTTCAGATAAGAGCCACACAGTTTCCATGTTGTGAGGAACAACAGCCCTAAATTCTGTCTTATATGGGTGATCGTGCATTTATGTAAACTCGTTTTAAACTAGCTGTGCTGCCGGCAAAGACTGCTGCTGATTTTTGGCGCTGTGTTAGCCGGCTTATCTTCTCATTTTTAGGTCTGCTCATCTCCCAAATATATTTGAATCATTTTATGTTCCTTCTGTCTCCATCTACTGTCTGCATTTGTTGGCCTGAGTGGCCGAAAGGTGGTTTTGTTTTTATGAAACAGTGGGAACGGCTGTATGCAGTGCTATATATCCCAGTGTAATCTAAAAGTTATCTATGTTCTAAAACACCAGAATAAACACAAAACAGAAAAAAATCTGAAAAAAGCAAATATACAAGCAGATAACATCCTGCCCCTCAGTGGAGGCCATAAAGTGAGTCTGCGAGACAACAAACTGCAGAACAGAGAGAGAGGTGGTGTAAGGCAATAAGTGTCTGTTTTGTGTGCCCCTGGCGAACATATCAGGGAGTCATAACAAGGCAGTACTGGTCAGATGAGCTCCAGGCTGTCATTTCTCTCCTTCGTCTTCACTCTGCCTCCAGATCCGTTTCCTCCCTAATGCTGTTGTCCACTCCAACTAGATCCACCGTAAACTCGGCGGCTGTAAGGCCCACAGAGGCACAAACATGCGCTCATGCATGCGCGCTGCACACTCGCTCACACAACGCACATGCTGAGCTCCCCACGGGCAAGCCCCTGCAGTGGTGATTGAACACCGGCAGGGCCTTGTGCTCCTGTCATTTATAAAGGTGTCACCA